TTTAGTTATTGGTTATTGGTCCAAGAATAGACATTTGGATATAGGTTGATAGGTTCTCATTTAGTTACGGGTTATCATTTAGTTATTGACTCCAGAAGAGAAATTTGTATTTAAATTATTGTGTGAAGTTTTAAAGTTGTAAAAATAAGGGGCTGTATACTTTTTTGCTAGTGGGGGAGGGAAGGGGGGGCGGGATTAGTTTGTGGTGTAGTTTAGGGAGTTGGTGTGGAAAACATTATTATCAGATCTAAGAGATGTTGAATACGCGATATGGGATTATACTGATAATAATGTCTATATTTATAGAGATGTTAACATGTAATTCGGGGTTATATAGATGTTACCATGTAATTCAGGGTTATATTGTCTGTATTTATTTATTTTCTTTACCTGGATTTTTGTATATCTATAAATCTCTTTTTTTAATTTAATTTATCTGACAGGTTTCAAAATAAAGTGCTTCCTTGAGCGAGAAGACTCTGTGGATGGTGAGGACTGATACTAGTGTATGGTGGTGAAGAATGTTTGCTGTGTACGGTGGAGGGGGTGCCTGCCAATTGGAAGCCTGTACAGAACCAGTATGGGTGATAAATTTCACAAAGATAGTTGTGTAATATAGGAAAGCGGTGGATGGAGGCATAGGTGTGGATACGGTGGAAAAGGAAAAGATTCTTCAGGATGCGAGAAATATGTTTATTTGCTACATATTCAGTACAGGTTCGTCTTAGGGGACTACTATTCTTTTTTACCAATAAAAACGATTTGTATTGGAAAACTCGATTTGTACAATAAATTTTAACAAAGGTCATGCTGTTGTTTGAATTTCTTTTTATATTTTTCTATTTCTTGGTGTCTGCCAAAATGTGGTTGGCCAAGCAGCCTAGCTGCCCCGCCATTAGCTGTAGCTGGGCAGCCACCCGCCTTGCTTCTATGGTGGCATTCCTAATTTCTTTGGCTTTTTGTATCAATTTTTCTTCCTTTTCCTTCAGGTCCTTTTCCTTCTTTTCGAATTCTTCCTTCCTTTCTTTCTTTCTTTCTTTCTTTCTTTCTTCTGTTTCTATTGCGGCGAGGCAACTGCGGACCTCAAACTCCTCCTCTGGGGACAGCTGCAAAAGTGACTAACCCACCCATATAACTTTTCTATTATTTGTTAGCTTATCTTTCCCTGGACTGCACGATAATGTGATACAATGAGCTCATCCTTCTAAACAAAGAGGATCTTAGCTCAACAAGATGTTGAAAGCCATGTCTCATCAGGAGCTCAGAAGGCAATCAAGGAAACAGGTTAGGGAGGGGAGGGAAGAGAATATGCCGTGAGGTGTTCTTCCTTATAAGTAAACCGATCTTTTGGTGTACCACGCTTATCACATTGTACATACAAATACATGCAAAAGGCCGGCTAAATAAGCTCCTCCCCCTGCTCCTAATTTTTTGGGTTGCCTTCGCCCCATGGCTCTACAGGACTCCCTGTCGGGAGTAATTAGGTAAGTTCACGGAGTTATAAAGTTTTAGTAAAGGTTGGGCCGCAAAGTTTTTTTCCGTAGTTACCTTTTCTATGGCACCTACTTCCTAGCTATATTAGTTGGATCAGTTAAGAACGCCTCACTTTTTCAAAAATGTACCTTGAATTTGATTGGTTTTCGCATGTGTGACTTAAGCCAACTGATAAGGTGTCGTTCAAGTCTTCCTGTTTGCTTGATTGAAACGTGATGTTCACGAAAGTCGCCTGGATGGATAAGATAAAGTTATTATACAGGTCTGTGGTATTTGTTTTTTGCTGAGTGCCTTAGTTTGTTGTAAATTATCCGCCAAAGTTGCCTCAGATTAACTGCTTGGAAAGTGTCACGACAGGCCTTCGCTCGAGTGAAATTTAATTTCTGTAAAACTCTGAAAAATAAAGAGATCCGATCAAACGGATTGTGGTTTTAGTATAGGTACATGAATGTCTTACAACACACTAGAAATGAGCTAAATCTGTCTCAAGCAAAATCGACCGGACCGCTCTTGCAGAGACACTCTCTTAATAAGGTGATGGATTTAAGTTTATGTTAAAATTAAATCAGCATTTCCAGTTCATGAAGTGACCAGTGCAATGCAACTTCAAATAAGAAAACACTCTTTGTGACTCAGTATTAACGGGTGACTGCGACTGCTTAATACAAACCTGTTGAATGCAGGTGTCACACACATCCCATGCACTGTACATGGCAAGTTTATTCGGACAGATTTCCAGTCATGTCCACTTGCCCAGTCTTTTTGTTGTGATCACACCAACATACGAGCACATAACACATTCATGGTAAATTATGAATGTGTTTCCCGCACATGTGCTTCAGTTGATGTTGTTATATTCAACCTCTTTGCACCACGCTTTGGCCTAACATTTTCTAACATTTTCCCACACCCAATTCGAATTTGCCCACAAAATTATTTCCGCAAGTGAACTATGGTGGATTTGGGGGAGGGGGAGAGGTCCTGCATAAAGACTGCGCAATGCTATGTAAATTAAAGTGCTGTAATGTATATTCACTCAATGACTGATTAGTCATCTCTGTAGTTTCAATCTGCCTTTAATTTACTTAATTGGGTAATCATTATCAATCTACCTTTGCATTTGTCTGGAGCTTGAATTTCTTGGCCAATTCACTTTAACGAATCTGGAAAAAAATGGTCGGGTAGCCCCAATGCCCTGGGTCCTATCAATGACATCTACACCTTTCATTATCTGCAGAAATTTGTGTTGAAGATTAGTTACCGAGCTGGGATTGGCATACGTAGTCTTTCACCATGAAAACAGATCTAATCTAACGTATAGTGAAAACTGTGCTGTTCTACTTAACTTCCTGAGGCCAATTCTTACCCTGCATGCACAGGTTGTATGGTTATGAATAAAAGATAGATGAAATTGAATATAAAGATCAGCAAACTTGATTTCAGAAACTACACTTCAATCGCAGTCGGTCATTCCTAAAAGGTTCTTTATAGGGGAGCGTTACAAATACTTATTACATTTGTCACCTCGGCCGCCCTTTTTTACCTTTTTTTGTGTAAGAAAACTGCAATAAAAGGTCATGTGACACGCCCATTTCTCCTCCTTTTTAGTGACGGACAACAAATTTTGGGTTGTACGAAGGAAATCTTATTCAAATTATCACTAGGGAAGGTTAGGCACTGGGTCAAGTTTTGGAATCCAGCGCAGCAATCTCATACAGAAATTTTTGTGGTGCGTGTTCCCTATTCTTAACACAGGATACCTTTGCTTTTATCTGCCCCTCTGACTTACAATTTACTGTACATGCGAAGGCAGAAGTGCAAACAAAACTGTACATATTTGTTACGTTTTCATCCGACAGCACAATACTTGCTGAACTTAAAAATGACATTACTGCTTCTATTAAATATGTTTCCTCCGTTGTCCAAGACCCTTGCTTAATTTCGAAGTTGTTCTCTGTAAGAAATTTGTGAGTTCTCTTCCTTTGTAAACTTGATGGGCTTGAGGTGCATTTAATGTTTCTTTTTTGCGTTAAGGAAACATTGCTGGCTTATCTTCTTCCATACTCATTGCTGCACCCATAACAACGGCACTTATTGGTACATGGCCACTTTCTATATGACAGTTGCATTTTGTTCGTCTTTTACCTGTGGTGTCAGTGCAACTTTTGACTTCTTCTCCATCGTTTTTATTGTTGGCTCCACAGCGACAAGAAGATTGGTTGTCAATATGGTTGTTTCTAGGTGGTCGTTTCCCACAGTTAAAGCATTTACAGAATGAAGTACAAGATCTGTTACCAATAGTACATGGGCAATGATGCTCCTTTGTGTCACCTCCAGAATTGTAATATAGTTTTATCCTTGTCTTACTTGTTTGTCCACGGTAGCAAGACCCTTTTTGGGGGACTGACATTTGCACCTGGCTTTTCATCAGCATCTGTCGGTTAATCATTGGTATTCTCTAGTTGGCCGATAGACTTTTAGGAGAACTCTTTTCCACTTTTACCCACCTTTGTCCTTTGTTCTTAAGCTTCATCTGGCAATTGCAAGACGAAAGAGTCGTAAAAAATTTGCAATGTTGTCCCTTTAGCCTCCGAGTCATGTTACAATTTTTATATATCAAATGTGGGTTATTCAGATGTTAAAATTTCGATATTCTTATACATGTTCACCTATTTCAATGAAGGTTGCTTTGGGGTTTGGTCATTAAAATGCAGAATAGACTACCTTTAATAAAATAGGTGTATATGAATTGAGTTCATTATGGTAGAAGAGCAACGTTTGAAATTAAGTCCTGCTGAAGTCTACTTTCATTTGATTACTTAAATCAAACTACTTTCGGCACAGCAGTAGCTCGACCAGTTTGAAACGGCCCTTAGTGCGTGCAGTGAAATCCTGGAGCCAATTTTTTGGTCTTTACCTCAGTAAAAACCCGTGTATAAGAGTGAGAGTTTCTCCAAGCTAGGCTACGAAGATTCTTATACAAACAGAGCTTACTGGAAAATTGGGCTACGCAGGTTGTTGAATAGGTTTCAAAATAATGTGTTTGTCACTGCCTACAAGACATTCACATTTGACTTGGACAACTTAGTGTATACTTGTGTTCTGTTGGCATATGGTATTGGTATTGTCATTAAAAGAGGAAACTATAAAGTGGGTCTATGTGGGTATGCAAAGGATTTATAGATCTGCATGTTAAATTCCTCATTGGCAGGATTTTAATCTTCAGTTTACTCACTGGTTGAGCTGTTTCTATTAACTGATTTGTATATTCAGTGTTTGACTAAACATCTCAAAATAATAACATATTAAAATTGTAAGCTAAAACAAGTTCTTATGTAAAGGGGTCTAAATGGACAATCTTAGCCTAACGACTTAAGAAAAACTGGGTTCTTATGTACGGAATTTTACTACATATTTAAATTCGACTGCCCTAGTCACACTGAATAGTCCCTATACTGTGAAGCTAGAGCAGGTAGAAAATTGACGATATTATCTAGCCCTCTCCAGTGTCTCCACATTCTGTCATTCAAATGCGACTGGAAATCACGACGCTCAATCCCCCTTCGACCTTTGATTGGCAACTTGAGGTTCTCCCAGGCAGATTCCGCTTCCTGTGTGTGGACTCCAGTAGCTTGATCAACAAAGTTGTTACGGTGGACAACAATGTGATGATGGGCGACATCATTGTTGTACGCTCCTCAGTCGTCGTTGTATATGGCGCTTCCAGGATGGAGACACCTCTCCAAAATTGGCAATACCGTCACAGTGTTGATCACACCAAAGATCCATGAATCTGGTGCACAACGCCCTCTATTGTACTGTTATGAGAAAATAAAAAGACTGTACGCTTATTATTCCAAAACTTTCAAAGCAATTATCTTTACCTTGCTTGGGAGCTTGTTGACCATGATTTGCTTTGAGATCTTCTATTCCTTAATTGGCCACATTAACGTTCTAAGATTGTGACTATTTTTTTAATTGCAGTAAAGAAAAAGGCAACGGAAAAATGATTTAATTAATTAAGTTCTTGTTTGAAAGCGTGAAATGGCTCATCCCCAGTCACTGTTATTCCATTAACTTGCAAATGTAAATGTAAGTAATATCATGGTGGAAACCTTCCCAAAAACAGTTTCGCAGAGATGGAACTGCATTTTACGATACCGTTATTAACTGAGGTTTTTCATGTAAAGGTGTCTTTGAATGACGAGTAAACCAAGCTCGCTAGTCGTGCTGAGACTTGAAATCTTTTGGTAAACTTTGGTGACATGAACTGCGAGGAAACTCCCTGTTTCAAGGTTGCCTTAGGATTCCCGGCTGATAGTAACAATGGTTGTGCCCTCTCAAGTGAAAACAAAAGATTATAGTTGAGAGAGGAGGGACTCGGTCAAAATTGTATTTAATGCTTGGGTAGTGGCTAAATGACTACTTAATGGCGTGGTGAATTTAACTTTATGTTAAAATAAATGAGCATTTCTAGTTCGTGAAGTGACCAGTGCAATGCAACTTCAAATAAGAAAAACACACTCTTTGGGACTCAATATTAACAGGTGACCATGACTGCTTAATACAGACCTGTTGACTGCAGGCGTCACACACATCCCATGCACTGTACATGGCAAGTTTATTGAGACAGATTTCCAGTCATGTCCACTAGCCCAGTCTTTTTGTTTGATCACGCCAAAATACGAGCACATAACACATTCATGGTAATTTATGAATGTGTTTCCCGCACATGTACTGGAAGTGCTTCAGTTGATGTTGCTATATTCAACTTCTTTGCACGACGCTTTGGCATACCCTAACATTTTCTAACATTTTCCCACACCCAATTCGAATTTGCCAACAAAATTATTTCCACAAGTGAACTATGGTGGGTTTGGGGGAGGGGGAGAGGTCCTGCATAAAGACTGCGTAATGCTGTGTAAATTAAAGTGCGGTAATGTATATTCACTCAATGACTGATTAGTCATCTCTGTAGTTTCAACCTGCCTTTAATTTACTTAATTGCGTGATTATTATGAATCTACCTTCACATTTGTCTGAAGCTTGAATTCCTTGAGCAATTCGCTTTAAAGAATCTGGTAAAAAATGTTTGGGTAGCCCCAATGCCCTGAGAAAGTGGGTCCTACCAATGACATCTAAACCTTTCATTATCTGCAGAAATTTGTGTTAAAGGTTAGTTACCGAGCTGTGATCGGCATACGTAATCTTTCACCATGAAAACTGATCTAATCTAACGTATAGTGAAAACTGTGCTGTTCTACTTAACTTCCTGAGACCAATTCTTACCCTGCATGCACAGGTTCTATGGTTATGAATAAAAGATAGATGAAATTTGAATATAAACATCAGCTAACTTGATTTCAGAAACTACACTTCTATCGCAGTCAGTCATTCATAAAAGGTTCTTTATAGGGGAGCATTACAAATACTTATTACATTTTGTCACCTCAGCCGCCCTTTTTTACCTTTTTTTGTGTAAGAAAACTGCAATAAAAGGTCATGTGACACACTCATTTCTCCTCCTTTTTAGTAACGGACAACAAATTTTGGGTTGTACAAAGGAAATCTTATTAAAATTGTCACTATTTATGAATGCAAGTTAGGCACTGGGTCAAAATTGGGAATCCAGCGCAGCAATCTCATACAGAAATTCTTGAGGTGCATGTTGCCTATTCTTAACACAGGATGCCTTTGCTTTTATCTGCCCTTCTGACTTACAATTTGCTGTACATGCGAAGGCACAAGTGCAAACAAAACTGTACATCTTTGTCACGTTTTCATCCGACAGCACAATACTTGCTGAACTTAAAAATGACATTACTGCTTCTATTAAATATGTCTCCTCCCTTGTCCAAGACCCTTGCTTAATTTCGAAGTCGTTCTGTGTAAGAAATTTGTGAGTTCTCTTCCTTTGTAAACTTGATGGGCTTAAGGTGCATTTAATGTTTCTTTTTTGCATTGGGGAAACATTGCTGGCTTATCTTCTTCCATACTCATTGCTGCACCCATGACAACGGCAGTTATTGGTACATGGCCACTTTCTATATGACAGTTGCATTTTGTTCGTCTTTTACCTGTGGTGTCAGTGCAACTTTTGACTTCTTCTCCATCGCTTTTATTGTTGGCTCCACAGCGACAAGAAGATTGGTTGTCAATATGGTTGTTTCTAGGTGGTCGTTTGCCACAGTTAAAGCATTTACAGAATAAAGTACAAGATCTGTTACCAATAGTGCATGGGCAATGAGGCTCCTTTGTGTCTCCTCCAGAATTGTAATATAGTTTTATTCTTGTCTTACTTGTTTGTCCACGGTAGCAAGACCCTTTTTGGGGGACTGACATTTGCACCTGGCTTTTCATCAGCATCTGTCGGTTAATCGTTGGTATTCTCTAGTTGGCCGATAGACTTTTAGAAGAACTCTTTTCCACTTTTACCCACCTTTGTCCTTTGTTCTTAAGCTTCATCTGGCAATTGCAAGACGAAAGAGTCGTAAAAAATTTGCAATGTTGTCCCTTTAGCCTCTGAGTCATGTTACAATTTTGATATATCAAATGTGGGTTATTCAGATGTTAAAATTTCGATATTCTTATACATGTTCACCTATTTCAATGAAGGTTGCTTTGGGATTTGGTCATTAAAATGCAGAATATAAGACTACCTTTTAAAAAATAGGTGTATATGAATTGAGTTCATTATGGTAGAAGAGCAACGTTTGAAATTAAGTCCTGCTGAAGTCTACTTTCATTTGATCACTTAAATCAAACTACTTTCGGCACAGCAGTAGCTCGACCAGTTTGAAACAGCCCTTAGTGCGTGCAGTGAAATCCTGGAGCCAATTTTTTGGTCTTAACCTCAGTAAAAACCCGTGTATAAGAGTGAGAGTTTCTCCAAGGTAGGCTAAGAAGGTTCTTATACAAACGGAGCTTACTGGAAAATTGGGCTTACGCAGGTTGTTGAATAGGTTTCAAAATTTTGTGTTTGTCACTGCCTACAAGACATTCACATTTGACTTAGACAACTTAGTGTACACTTGTGTTCTTTTGGCATATGGTATTGGTATTGTCATTCAAAGACAGGTTCTTATGTAAAGGGGTCTAAATGGACAATCTTAGCCTAATGACTTCAGAAAAACTAGGTTCTTATGTACTGAATTTTACTATATTCAAATTCGACTGCCCTAGTCACACTGAATAGTCCCTATACTGTGAAGCTAGAACAGGTAGAAAATTGGCAATATTATCTAGCCCTCTCCAGTGTCTCCACATTCTGTCATTCAAATACAACTGTAAGTCATGACACTTCATCCCCCTTCGACCTTTGATTGGCAAGTTCAGGTTCGCCCAGGCAGACTGCGCTTCCTGTGTGTGGACTCCAGTAGCTGGATCAACAAAGTTTTTCACGGTGGACAACAGTGTGATGATGGGCGACATGATTAGGAAAGTGGCATTCAAGATTGTTGTACGCTCCCCAGTCGTTGGTGTATACCGCACTTCTAGGTTGGAGACACCTCTCCAAAATCGGCAATAGCGTTGCGGTGTTGATCACACCAAAGACCCATGAATCTGGTGCACGACGTGCTCTATTGTACTGTTATGAGAAAATAAAAAGACTGTACACTTATTATGCCAAAACCTTCAAATCATTTATGTTAGCTTGCTTGGGAGTTCGTTGACCATGATTTGCTTTGAGATCTTCTATTCTTTAATTGGCCACATTAAAGTTCAAAGATCATGACTCTCAGAGGTCTTGACTATTTTTTTAAGTGCAGGAAAGAAAATGGGAAAAGGAAAATGATTTAATTAATTAAGTTCTTGTTTCGAATTATAGTGCACTACAAAATGGCTATTTTGGCACGTGTAAAATAGGGTTTTTTTTCCCGTTCTTTCTTTGTAAAGTTTTTCAGGGATATACAAACTTACGACATCAACGATTAAATTTATTTAATGCCCCCAGTTCTGTTAATTTAACTCTTTTGCCATTGCTGTATGAGCATTTCGAAATGTCGTTTGAATTTGTGTATTTAAATGTTATAAGTAATTATTCTTTGGTATGTAACTGACATTGTGTAATGCTGCATCAGGATACTCTATACCAAGAGCTCTTGTTTATACTTAAATCCAAGGATACCGATTATGCCAAGCTTTTGTTTGACCATATTTCTCTTTGTAGCTTTGTGATTAAATTTGCTCTCATTACACTTGATTACTGCTGTTCCGCCAAAGGGGATAAATGGAATCTGGTCTGGTCTATATCCAGGAAGCATACATCTTCTAAATGCCAGAAGACCCTGGCACACAAAATTTACATTCATTGAGATCATTCTGGCAGTCTTTTCCCTGGTAACGTCAAGCAACCAGAAATAAATCAGAAGGAGCTTTGCCAGGCTTATTTTTGGATATTCGGCAAAAAACTATTTGTCCTCAGACTGCGCCTTTTCTTCCATTTTGTACATGTCCTATACGAAAAGGTTATAAAAACTAAGTCCACACGAGATTGTTTTTTTACCCTTGCTGGGGAAAAACAGGCGGGAGAGGAGAAATGAAAAAACAAACAATACAACTCCCTTTTTTTATTCCTTTAAACACTGCTACCCCACTAAAAAATCTACGAGATTTCACCTGTCTCCTCTTTCTCAGTCGCCACACCCCTTCATGACCATTTGCTGATACCCACGTGCCCATGTTTTTGGACTCTTCTTCTCTTATGATGATAGCATCTAGACTCTAGTTAACGTGAAACAATGTATGATATAACGGACGTTTTTGTACCGTGGTCCACAAAAGTGTTTTTGTCTTGATTTTTCAACACAGCCCGCTTTGAACAATGGCAGGTCTCTAGCTAGCTCTCGCTTTCCCATAAAGTGACACTTGAAAACACCTTTTGAAGAAAAGGTGAGTGATAGACTTCATTATCACAATTAAATAGGGCAAAGGAAATTCCACAACACTCCTAAATCGGGGGCTAGCTTTCATAAGAGTTAAATCCACAGCGGTCTTCATTTTAGTCCAGGGGGTCTTAGGTCTTCGTTTTAGAAACACCTTCAAGCAAGCAAAGTTTCTTAAGTACACAAAGCACCTCAAGCGAGGAAAGCATCTCAAGGAAGCAAAGCACTTTAAATTTCCCTTAAGATTAACTTGAGCTTACCTAAAATCGTCTGATGTGTTTGCTGTTGTGCAAGAGGGAGGGATGTTCCAGACAGAGGTGGCACACTCACAACATCACTACTAGTACTGCTTCCAGCTGGACTTTCCAGTTCTTTGAGAACTGTTCTCAAAACGCTAGTTGTTCTTTGAAGAAGCTTCTTTCTATTGACGTCTCATTGATTCGCATTTCCTTGACCCATGACTAGCCAAAAAATTTATGTGCCGTCTCTACAATCCTTGCATCAAGTGCACTTCAACTGTGAACCATACGTCATGTAATTGTAACGTGTGTGTACACATGAAAACGAAATTGAGGTTTCAGCTCTCTCGCTTTATCGCTGAGCGCATACAGAGACCGACAGACAGATTGTTGGGATCCAATGAAATGTAGTCTCCTGGGAGGTACGGTTTAATGTGTAGCATAATAAAAGGGCTTTATGCACAATCTAATGCTACAGAGGATAAACTAGTGGAATAAAGCTTGCAACAAAATAATTGGAGGATGATCCAATAGAATGAAAGTACGATCCAAAGGAACGAAGGTACAATCTAATGGAACACAGGTCATGATCCAGTTGCATTTTTGTCCAGAATGCTCCTCCATACGTATGTTTGTGCAGGAAATTGGAAATGAACTGGTAAGAAGTATGATGGTCCACATCTGCAACGGCAAAGCTTACTTTCCAAGGCAAAACTTGTGAAAATCACCAAAAATTTGATATTTTGACCTTTACGACAAGCTGGGCCAGACTAACACAGGTTTCCAACCTGTTCCCAGTCCCCATTCCTATCGTCTATGCCCAAATCAAATGGTGACTGCTAACGATGACCATGTCGAGCTTGAAGATAATATAAAAAAAGGTTTTCATAGAATACCACCCTTATCCTGGGTTTCAATAGGCGGATATAGTGCTTTTCCTAACTACTTTTCACAACATTGAAATACACATACTGAGGACATATGGTTTATTGAGGAGGAATCCAGATTACAATGTTGATACCCTAACTGCAGAAATACGGGAAATGCTAGATGGGCCAGAGTGTATTTCGGGGTTACAGGCATGTATGATATGGTCTTCAATTAAAGGGGCATTGAGTCCCACGACAACTGGTTGAGATTTCACTGACATGGACACAATGAAAAGACATCAGTATCATAATCGTAAACCTAATGCTGCAGCATGCAGATGGGTATGACAAACTGAAACCCTATGGTTTTCCTGTTCATGGTTACATAGTTGACTGGAGAATATGACTTTTATGAATGGTGTTTACTCGATCAAACAACTCCCCTGACAATGTAGGCCATTACTTCCTTGATGCAGTGAAGGCTTCCAGCAGATGTCTACATGAACTATTAGGGACCTTAAGCATCGACGATGAAATGGGACAACAACACCAACCAGAAGTGAAATTTTCTCACATGAACCTTCTGGCCATGCATAAGGTCGTCAAAACGTTGTCCATCCCTCATCGACTATGAAATTCAGGGTGGTTTGCTGTCATGGCTAAAACATAAGTATAAAACTATACTTTTTGCGTGTAAATCACTCTTTTCCCCCTTGTCATTCAGTACAAGTAGAAATATATTCTTTCTAGATTAGGAGAATCCAAATGTTACGCACTTTGTCGAGTTCTTTGTCTGCCAACTTGAATTTACTTCTCAGGTTCAGTTTGTTTGAAAATTTGAGTGTTAATGGAACAACCAGCCGGAAAGACAAGTAAGCTTTCCTGCTAACTGCTGAACCTTTTAGATTACATGGCCTAAAATCCCAGACATTTGAGCTCACTGAGCAGTATGCGGCTTCCTCCGAAATAACAGAAAAAGCAACATGGCAGCAAAAAAGTGGCAGGCACAGTAAGTTTATAAAATCAAATAAACCCATCCTTAGACCAGGGAAAGCCTAAAAACTTTTGGTCTGGGGGGAAAATGTCAATATGATGATAACCAGATTTGATTTCAAAGGAAAATAGCCAATGCTGAGGAAAATTGAGAAAGGAATAAAGTGTGGTTTTTGCGTCCTTGAAGTTAATCTTGGATTTCTAAACAATTGATTCGGACATCGTAAGTCTAATATGAGTCTTTTCTTACCTTTAGGCTGAATGGAAACAGACAGGGGGTTAACCACAGTAGGGGCACACCCAGATTCAACCACTGAGCCTACTATGAAGAGATCAGAAATAGCTTGTTACACAAATTCACTATGCTGAATGGCACATGGATTATTGCCAAAGCTTGCTGCGGGTGGAGTGTAAATAAAGGGGATCTTATACCCATCGACAACAGTATTGCAAATGAAACGAGAAGCACGTATATGGTCCCAAAAGGGTACATTTTCCTTAAGACTACCTTTAACCTTAACTGTAGGAACTCCCTCCTGATATTCGGGACTAATTACATCACTAGATAAATCAGACGCATCAACAGAGTTCTCGACAAGTTCCACTGGATCAAAGTCATTTAAACATGTAACCAAATTCACTAAATTATACTCATCTTTCCCTAATCTCTGTAATGTAACTTTGTATTTGTTGTCAGTTTGCGGCCTTGCTGCTTAAACGGACTGCAACGGTTCCTCTAAGGCAGCTGGGGCAGGAAGTTGAATTTGCCCAATGACCCCTCTATCTGCAACTAAAGCACTTGTCCGAAGGTTGAGATCGATGCTTGCGAAAGGACTGTCCACGAAAAACCTGCTGATTAACAGGAAGAGTATTGGAAGGACCAGCAAAAGAAGCTTCACTCGATGGCTGACAGGTACTTGTATAGCTAGGTCAGGCAGATGAATTCCTACGCTTCTTCTCGCGGATCTTGGCCAATCGCCATCTTTCTGCTGAACGAAGCCTCTTTTCATCCCCAGAATCCTCTGCCAACTCATCTGCTCAATTCGTACTCTTCAACAGCTGTCTATCCTGCAGGACTCTTATCTGCAAAATGAATAAGCTTGTTTCGTTTTGTAATAAGTGTCTTTACCAATTCAAGTTCAGAAATCACTGTCCACTAAGCCATGCAGAGATGTTAAGTTCGTACTGTACTTTGTTTCCCTTGAAAGTAAAGGAATTTGAAGCTTTCGATTCGTTTTTCAGCTTCTTGTCGTTGGGTTGAAGATTCACATGTAGCAAGCAGAGCAATTGACATCCTTCATTATGTTCATCTTTACGTTGAAGGATTAATCAAGGAGAAATCTGCACCAAAGCATACAACTTTTCTTATAATGCAACAGGGGTGTAAGGATCTTTTGTTAAAGTTTAAGCTTTTGTTCTTTGTGTCTGTTGCTAAGCAGTTTGAGGCATTTCTTGTTAGATATCAGACAGACAAGCCAATGATACCACACCTCTGTGGTGATCTTGCGAAACTGATCAAAGCACTGATGGTAAGATTCATTAAAGAATCTGGTCTTAAGGTGGTACCGGAGGCTAAGTTGGACCTTTTTACCTCAAGTTTGTGAATACAAAATTGGATGAAGGATTTGTCAGACTGTCTTAAAATTTTACGGTGTGATAAATCATTGTGCATAAAAAAGAAAAAAATATATTTTTATCTTGGTAAGTTTCGTGGAATTTGTGGAATGTGAAGAATTTTAGGGTGTGGTCTACGTTACTATTTTGGAGCTAACCTACGCTACACTCTGACCAAATTTTTTACAGTGGAGTGGCACATTTATAGATATGAAGATAACAAAGTTTTTCAGCGCAGTGCGCCACAATATGATTTATTTTGACAATTTTAAGGCTAAAAAAAAGATACCTTCCTAACTTCCTCACAGGCACAATTTGCGGCAGACCAAAGCGCACTGCACTGTAAATTTTCCTCATCGTATGCAGTTTTGGTTTGCCAAGTTTCTTATCTACAGAATAAATCTTGGTGGAGATATTGCTTTTTCAGTAGCGCAACTTGTCGTTGCAGTACCGATTTTTAAGCGAAAATATCGGATATCTTTGGAAGAATTCGTCAGAAAAACGAAAGTCGAGTTCACTCGCTTCGGTCGCCATCTTGTGTAAGTCAATAAGAGGCGGTACGCAGCTCTTACAAGATGTGCTGTGATTGGTCGATGGATTTTTGATAATAATTCTTCTATCATGAGAGAAATATAAAGTATATAAGGAATATGGGGAATACGTAAATAATAAAGTGTGATGAAGTTTTGAATTTACGTAAGTACAGTCAGACAACGTTAGGAATAGTTATTGTGAATTCAGTAAGTAATCTGAGGAAGTATTAGCTATTTAATTACCACTATCTCAACGCCCTAAGGCAGGAGTAACTTACTGGTTCTCCCTGGTTGCCTGGTTGCCTGGTTGCCTTGTTGCCTTGTTACCTTGTTGCCCTTATTGCCTTGTTGCCCTGGTTGCTCTGTTGCCCTTGTTGCCTGGTTGCCTTGTTGCCTTGTTGCCCTTGTTGCCCTGGTTGCCCTGGTTGCTCTGTTGCCCTTGTTGCCCTTGTTGCCCTTGTTGCCCTGGTTGTCCTGGTTTCCCTGTTGCCTTGTTGCCTTGTTGCCTTGTTGCCTTGTTGCCTTGTTGCCCTGGTTGCCTTGTTGCCC